TGGATGTCTGAGGGCAGGAGCTCAAACAAAAAGAAAAAAAATCACCCATCCTCTGCCTTTTTCTTCTATTCAGGCTCCCAATGGATTGGATGATACCGACTCACTTTGGTGAGGGTGGATCTTTACTCAGTCTAACAATCCAAGTGATAATCTTTCCTAGAAACGTCCTCACCAATGCATCCAGAAATAATATTTTACCAGGCATTCCTTACCCCAGTCAGATAGACACATAAAATTAACCATAGCAGAAGCAACATGAAAATTTAAGTGTCTTCCCAGAGCCACATGAATCTGCAAAACTGTAAAACAATAATACTCTTCTCTCCAACTATTTTTGTTTTGAAAATTGTAGTTATTTTGTTTCATAAACATTATTTATGTTAACATATAATGGAGTTTATTATTAATTATACTAATAAACATTTTTAAAGTCTGTTTTATTTTATAATATAGAAATATTAATACGTAACACATATAAGCAAAGATTTATAGAATTCTCAATAATTTTTGAGTGGGGTCCTGACCTTTATCTTACACCACTCACAAAAATTAATGCAACAAGAATTCAAGCCTTAGATGTAAGAAGTGAGACAAATACAGCAAGAATGCATTGGAGGGACGAGGGGAAGATGGCGGCAGAGTAAGACACGGAGATCACCTTCCTCCCAACAGATACATCAGAAATACATCTACACGTGGAACAACTCCTACAGAACACCTACTGAACACTGACAGAAGACCTCAGACCTCCCAAAAGGCAAGAAACTCCCCACGTACCTGGGTAGGGCAAAAGAAAAAAAAATAAACAGAGACAAAAGAATAGGGATGGGACCTGCACCAGTGGGAGGGAGCTGTGAAGGAGGAAAGGTTTCCACACACTAGGAAGCCCCTTTGTGGGCGGAGACTGCGAGTGGCGGCGGGGGGTGGGGAGCTTCGGGGCCGCGGAAGAGAGCGCAGCAACAGGGGTGCAGAGGGCAAAGCAGGAAGATTCCCGCACAGAGGATTGGTGCCGACCGGCACTCACCAGCCCGAGCGGCTTGTCTGCTCACCTGCCGGGGGGGGGTGGGGCTGGGAGCTGAGGTTCGGGCTTTGGTCGCAACGCAGCACGGGTTGGCGGCGTGAACACAGCCTGAAGGGGTCAGTGCATCACGGCTAGCCTGGAGGGAGTCCGGGAAAAGTCTGGACCTGCTGAAGAGGCATGAGGCTTTTTCTTCCCTCTTTGCTTCCTGGTGCATGACGAGAGGGGATTAAGAGCTCTGCTTAAAGGAGCTCCAGAGATGGGCGCGAGCCCTGGATAAAAGCGTAGACCCCTGAGACGGGCAGGAGATGCTAAGGCTGTGTGCAAGCACAGGTCACAATACACACCTCCCTTCTGGGGAGCCTGTGCAGCCCGCCACTGCCAGGTTCCCGGGATCCAGGGACAACTTCCCCGAGAGAACACACGGCGAACCTCAGGCTGGTGCAACGTCACGCCAGCCTCTGCCACTGCCGAGTCGCCCTGCATTCCGTGTTCCTCCTTCCCCACTGGCCTGAGTGAGCCAGAGCCCCCGAATCAGCGGCTCCTTTAACCCCATCCGGTCTGAGTGGAAAAACAGACTACCTCCGGCAACCTATACACAGAGGTGGGGTCAAATCCAAAGCTGAGACCCTAGGAGCTGTGAGAACAAAGAAGAGAAAGGGAAATCTCTCCCAGCAGCCTCAGAAGCAGTGATTAAAGCTTCACAATCAATTTGATGTACCCTGCATCTGTGGAATACATGAATAGACAATGAATCTTCCCAAATTGAGGAGGTGGACTTTGAGAGCAAGATATATGAGTTTTTCTCCTTTTCTTCTTTTTGTGAGAGTGTACATGTATGCTTCTGTATGAGATTTTGCCTGTATAGCTTTGCTTCCACCATTGGTCCTAAGGTTTTATCCATCCGTTTTCCTATTTTTTAATTTTTTTTAATAATTATTTTTTAATTTAATTATTTTATTTTACTTTATTTTCTTTCTTTCTTTCTTTCTTTTTTTCCTATCTTCCCTCCTTCCTTCCTTCATTTCTTCCTCCCACCATCCCTCCCTCCCTCCCTCCCATCCTTCCTCCTTTCTTTCTTTCCTTCTTTCTATCTTTCTTCCTTCATTTCTTTCTTTCTTTCTTTCTTTCTTTCTTTCTTTCTTTCTTTCTTT